CATTCTTGCCCTTATGTGTGTCTCCCTCTGTCCTTACTTATTTGGAAAATTCTTATTTTATGGGTCTTTGAAGGTTATGAATAGGACCTTAGGCTACTTAAAATTGAACATCAAAGAAAAATAAAATTTATAGGTTTTCTCTTTTTTTTGGTGCCTAGCTATTGGTTTTGTGTTTGATTGATATCTTGTCTTGGCAAATACATTTGTTGGTGAAATTTGATGTTGGTCCATATTTTCTTGTTAAAATTTTAGATTTTGGATCATCATTAAATCATTCTTAGAATGAAAAAATTGTGTTTGTTGTCCTTACATTAAAGTGATATGTTTTTGTTAAAATTATGAATTAGTACTTATGGTTGTTTATTTTTTTTTTTGGGTTTTCATTTTACATATCATCCATTGTTGCATTAGAAATACTAGATATTTAATCACCCTAGATCAAAAGTTTTTCTATAGGAGAAATTAATAAGCGTTGGCATGCTTCCAAGATTTCATCCCCATTTTTTGTACCCAACTTGTAGTTTTGTTCCCGTACCTGCATATTTTGTAGTTTTGGATTACTGTTGCTAGAGGATTTTCATGGGATCTACTCATTACTAACTTGTTGTTACTGGTGACTTTAGATGATATATACTTGTGGATTTTCTGCATCCTCTGACTTAATATTTCAGATGGAGTCAAGGTTTTTATTTTGACATGATATGGAGCTGAATTGGTCTGTCATTGTGCCAACCATATCTACTAGTGTAGGATGAGAAATCTATGAATAGACTTATGAAACATGTAATTTTTTTTGTTTTGACTCATTAAATTTTTTTTATTCTAGCTTCTATCTCATGTGCATATACGTGAAAAGGTTGGAGTAGCTCCAGTAGAAGATAAGATTAGAGAGAGTCGCCTTAGATGGTTTGGTTACATAAAACGACTGCCTTCCAATTACCCGGTTAGGAGAGTAGAGGTATTAGATTTGACTTATATTAAGAAAGGTAGAGGCCAAGGTTTTAAATTGCGTAATTAAGCCTCGAGCGATTTTTGTCCATGAGGCGAGGCGTAAGCCTCAAGGCAGTGTGAGACGTAAGCCTCACGGACGCAAAATTGCATAAATAAGAATTTAAGGGTTTTAGCAGGGTAATAATAGCTAAATTCTATCATACAATAAAAACATCTAAATGATATATGAAAATAGTGGAAAATAAGAAAATAAATGCAATAAAATCATGTTCCAAAGTACAAAATATTAGTTTAACAAAACCCCAAAGTACAAAGAACATATAAAATGCAATCATATCCCATTACTAAATGAGTCTTCAAGGGAATCTTCTTCTCTAATTATATCTATGAATGACATATCATCATCATCTTCAATATGACTCACTTTTCTCTATCCTGTTCAATAAGAGAAAAGTTCATTATCATGTTAATTGCTCACTTGATATAAATATAATGCAATAGCATATAAGAAGTTGTGGAATACCTTTACTTGATTGTTGTGCTGCAGAGCTAGTGGATGTGTGTGGTGTGGTACTAGTGGATGTGCCTACTTGATCTTCTTCGCTCCTCAAGACATCCACACTTAGATCCTCTAGCTGTAAGTCTGATAATGGCAAATCTATCTCATCATCTATGAACCACTCATTATCAGATGACATATCATCACACACCAACGGGTCCTCATCATCCTTCAACCCCTTATTCCTCAACCTCCTATCTCTTAACCTCTTTTTGTGTATAATATATACGAGGGAGTTCATTTTGAGTGTTGATAGCCGATTTCTTCTCTTTGTTTGCACTTGACTATATGTACTCCAGTTTCGCTCACACCCAGAAGAAGAACAAGTGAGGCCCAACACTCTTACAGCAAAACTCTGTAACTCAGGGGTGAAATCACCAAATTGGATCCACCATTCAACTGTTTTCAAGAAGAAAAAAGATAATCATAACTGAATAAAGTGTCTTGTATTTACCAAAATAACTATACATGGAGATCGTTTGGCAATGGTTGATTTTGCTGCATTCAGACCAAAAAAACCCTATTTATTCCGAAATAGAACAAGTTGTAAATCTGCAAGCTCCCTATCTGTCTGCTCCGGTATTAGTCTTTCCATACAATGATACAGACCAAGCTTCACTTTCGGGTTTGAAGATTTCTTCTCTGAATATTAAAATTGAGGATTGAGATAATATGCCGCTGCATGTAGATGACGGTGTAACTGTACCTCCCACCGAGCATCAATGATATCCCAAATCTCTCTATAACTTGCCTCCTCTCCTCCCAAGTTGTGTGCAATCAACTCCTTGGCCTCATCCATAGCATTATAAATAAAACCCATGGTTGGTTTCTTCTCGGCATCCACTAAGCGTAGTACTTGCACTAAGGGTCTTGTGCTCAATATGACATAGGTTACAGTAGCCCAAAATTTATTATTCAGAATTATCTTTCTTATTTCCTTCCCCTCACTTTTCTTACCCCACGCAGAGTTAAGCCATTCTGTTGATGTAAACATTGCTTCCAGAGGTTGTCTCACATCCAACAGGCTCTGCAGTGTCAAATACGATGTGGCAAACCTGTAGATTTGCAGTGCACAAATGTAAGAACATACATTAGGAATTGATAATGATTTGCAGTGCACAAATGTAAGAACATACCTAGTGGTTACAGGGCAAATGATTTCCTTCTTTGAAAACTTTCTCATCAAGGCTAAGACCCATGAGTGGTTGTAGATGAACTTTGTGATCTTCTTCGCCCTAGAAAGAGTGCTCTTGTGCTGAGGTAAGTCACCAAGTTCCTCCAAAATGAGATCTATACAATGTGTTGCGCGGGGGTCCAATATAGGTCTTCCTCTTCTCCATCAAAATCTGACCAGTTGCTTTGTATGCACTGGCATTGTCAGTCATCACTTGCACAACCAATTGCTCCCCAATCTACTCAATAACCCCATCTAATAAATTGAAAATAAATGAAGCATTTTTAACCTCATCTGAAGCTTCACTGATCGTAAAAACACCGTGCCGTAGGGATTGTTGACAAGGATGTTAATCAAGCTCCTGCTCTTCATGTCAGACCATCCATCTGACATAATGGTAACACCAGCCTCAATCAATGTCCGTTTAATCTCATCAATGCTCCGCTCTGTGTTATGCAGCTCCTCCTTCAAAATCCATGTTCGCAACTCGTACATGGATGGTGCCTTCAACCCTCTCCCATACAACCCTACAGACCGCAGCATATTGAATTAGGCAGGCGATGTCGCAACACTAAATGGTATGGCATTCTAAAAAAAAAAACTTCCCAATATCCATGCAAACCTGTTGCCGACCCTCTCTGGTACCGGCCGCAGGCATCATCTCTGCTTGTTTCCTATCTTCTCTTGGATTAGTCATATACTGAACCATAGGACCCCGTGCACCTTTATTATGTATAGTGGAGGAAGAGCACTTTCCACTCTCGCTCTCGAAGTAAGCACCATGTTCGACCCTTTCATCAAATTGCTCATGTTGTAAGTGTTTTGCCGTGGTAGTTTTCTTCATGGAAGCAATTATTTCATCCTTCACATTGTCCGGCACTTTTGCACACGGTGCTACGTTCTTATGAGAGCATGATAAGTGTTCCTTCATGCGGGTTACTCCGCCCTTCTCCACTTTCTCACAAAAATTGCATTTTAAATACACATACGTCAACTTGCACACTATATTTTCAAGAAGGGTCATGCCGTAATGACGTATTCGCCTTTTCTTTGCCTCTAACCATGTTTCCTAAAGCAAAATCCAAAAATACACAAAAAAAATAAAAAACCCTAGATTTTCTTTCACTTGAAAAATCTAGCCCTAAACAAAAAAAAAAAACCTAAAATCGATTGTGGAGTACTCCTAGAGGGCGGCCGGACACTTCAAGTTCGCCGGAGAGAGGCGGCGGGAAGGGAAGCCGACCGTGCTGGAACCCCTCTGTTTCGCGAACACAGGCTGCGGGAAGGAAAATTTCGGGATAACCTAGAAGCCGTACGGGATTAAGGGGAGAAAAGGCTTCATTTTAAGTGGGTGGGGCCGGTTCTATGAGGCGTACGCCTCACCCAGAATTGCGCAATTGCGCCTCTGAGGCGCGCCTTAGACCAGGTGAGGCGGACGCCTCTGCCAGGAGAGGAATTGCATAAACCTCGAGGCGTTTTTGGGTCAAATTGAGCAGAGGCGCGCTTCTTATTGCGCAATTTTAAATAGAGGTAGAGGCAGACCTAAAAAGACTTGGTTATAAAATATTAGGAATGACCTTTCTTTATTAGATTTAAACGAGAATTTGACCTTTAATAGGACACAATGGAGAAAAAGGATTCATGTAGCCGACCCCACATAGTGGGATAAAGGCTTGATGTTGTTGTTGTTCTATCTCATGTGCACGTTAGATTTGTGATTCTTTGAGCAAGATACAAGGAAGTGATCTTCTTTATAAGCATGAGCTACTGATTCTCCACTTTTATGAACTCTTTCTTGTATCATTTTGTTCTAAATATTTTGTTACTGACCTAATAGGATTCTTGAATTATTCAAAATTCATACAACTCAGACATTACTTGTGATTTTAAAATTCAAATGCTCATTAATTTCACTTGGTTTAAATTTCTCTTTAATTTTCTTCAAATTTATTCAATTTTTATATCATCGCTGATTTGTAACTCTCATATTTTTTGATTTGCAACTAAAGAAGGTGAGTTATTGTCTATTTAGTGGCCTGGAATTTCGGAAACCTAATTTCTTTTGTGAGCTATTTTCATTCATGTCATCTTAGTTGTATTAAGAGCCCTAAATTCTAAACTGTTTTGCAGCACATAAATAAATGACATGCTCTGTAAGTTTCAAATCCTATATTGGAGATGGAACATAATTTTCTATTCTAATTTTATCAATTATGTCATATCGTAAATTAGTGGCATATTATGTTCTGCTTGCATGTTTATATTCCTTTTTTTCTCCAAACTCTAGGTGAGAGTTTGTATGCTTGGATTTCACAGGGAGATTGAGGAGTCGGATATTAAAGCTTTGGAAAGGCAATTGATGCAATCAATAGAGACATGCATCATGAAGAAGAAAAAGATTGTCTTATCCCAAATGGAGATGGAGAGAATACAGGGATCAGAGGAGGTACCTGCCACCATTGATGATTTCAATCATGTTACTTCACCTTGAGTACAAACTTGCATATATTCACATCTGTTGGGGTCACCCTTCGATAGCATATTTCTCAAAACCTTAGTATTAGTAATTCAAATAATGATTTGTAATCAATAGCCTTTTACCGTGCCTGTTATCTTAAAAATTGAATCCAGAAAGATGCTTCTAGGAAAGAAAGAACCTGGCCTTAATTTATGAAGAATAAATTTGTTATAGGGTTTTTCATTCTCTACACAGATTCTGGGATTGCTTGAACCATCTGAAATTTTCAGGTTAAGCATTACGAAAAGTTTCAGGAATGTTCTAGATTATCTTTTGCTTTTTCCATTCCTGCAAAAGGAATATTTTCTCCTTCTCTTTCCTCTGCGTAGAAGAATTTTTTGTGCAAACTTGTTTCTAATAAGATAATTACTCTGTTTAGGTTGTTAAAGTTGAAATTGCCTCCATTAGTCATTTAGGTATCGCCAATTAACATCAAATTTGGTGACATGTGTGCAGACTTTTTCCTTAAGATGATAATGATTCTGTGTTGGTTATTAAACTTGAATTTGCCTCCTACATTTCGTAATTCTGAGTATCTACATTTAACATCAAATTTGGTAACATGAGCTTTTCCATTATTCTGCTGGTGAAAGGATTAATTAACAATGAAGAATAAACCAATAAATCTTTCACTTTTAATCAGCTAACCAAGCATAACAAATCACTGCTAGAAATGCTTGAACCACTAAGTTTCTTTACGGTGGATGATTCTTCTGGAGCTTTTTCTTTTTTGCAAGTGGCCATGGTGGTTTCATGTGCTTATATTGAGATATTCTTGATATCAACGATTGTATAAGCTCCTCCTCTAACTAAGGTGAATCCATATTGGCTAGAATATTGTCTTTCAGTGTAGTGATATCCAGATAAATTCGACTAAAAAGAATAATAAAAATATTGTTCACGCACATGCTGTTGTATCTTCTATTAAAAATCATATTCCAAGCATGAAAAGATACGCTTGTTATTTTAGTTTTATGTTTCCTTTCATCTGGGGGATACTATAAGAAGATATTGCATCATACTGCATGAAGTTCAGGTATCTTACTTGGAATTACTTTGCTGCAGAAACTTAAAGCCAGATCCTTTATCAGACGTCTTGTTGGAACAGTTGTTAGATCCGTGCATGAAGATCAGAGGGAGCAAGGTAATGTTTGTCTTGGACTTGATTCTTCCCAGCTTTGATTTTATTTCGTTCTGCTGTAAAGTACTTATTTGAACAATTGTTACAAGTGGATGATGCATTTACTAAGTATTTAAATAGTACTTATTATTCATATTCTTCTATAATTCATTTTTTATTCTGATGTTTTGCTTATTACTTAAGAAAATTTCTTGTTCATCTTGGTGTTTTGTAGATATTAAAAGCATGGAAGCAGAGGTACAAGCACTGGAAGAGCTTTCCAAGCAGCTATTCCTTGAAATATTCGAGCTTCATCAAGCAAAGGTACTTAAGAACACAATTATTCATTGCAAACGTAATTGGTTTTCCCAGCAATTCGTTTTGGTAGCTTTTTGTTCTTTGCTTTATTTTGCTCGAGAACGCTATATTGCTGCATCCTATACATTGTTTCATTCTTATAGCAGTGCTTGTTTTGTTGGGCTCAATTCATGGGTGAAACAGAACCAAACTTTGAGATTTCTAAATGATGTTAAACTTGGAAATTTCAACTAGTGATTGTGAGGTCTCCCACTTGCAACATCACCGCATAACTGATATTACCTGCATCAATGCTAAATTTTACCAACAGAATTTTTTAGTTTGCCTAGTATTTAAATAAACTTTTTAATTTTTTTTCATGTGTTAGCGATCATGATGTTTAGTATTCTAATTTTATTTCTCTAGAGCTTCATTATCCTTCTTTTTCTTTCTTGCCTTGCACCGTAGAAAGTGGGTTTTATTAAGTTGCTTTCATCTCTCACTTGAAACATTGCTTTGAATAATTTCAGGAAGCTGCTGCTTTTTCTCGAACCTGGAGAGGACACCTGCAGAATTTATTAGGCTATGTCTTATCAGTTTATTGTGTGTACAAAATGATAAAGGTAACAGATCTGCTAGTTTTTATATGGCCATGTTCAGAACTGAGTTTTTACTGAATACAATCAACCCTTCCACCCATTTCCCCTTCTTTGCTACTAATTATTAAAAGTGAGAAGACATGTTTTATCTTAGTTAAATATGCAAGAACTCGGTCCACCAATCTAATTAGGCTTTATAAACCCTTTTAGCTTCGATTACTGTAGGCTGGATCTGCATACTTTCTGTTTACAATTTTGAAGTTTTAAGCTCTGATACCTCAATAAGTTTAACATCATGATCTTTATTTTATTTAAAAAAACATCAAATATTTTAGTAGGTAGGAATATTCTTACCAGCAGCAGCACCACGCCCTGTCCCTAGTTTCTAGTGTCTTCATGAACTCTTTTTTCTCTATCCATTACAAAGATCTGAATAAAGTGTTAACTTCTAATGTTAGCTGGATCCTTTAGGATACTACCATCTTGTTAGCTTTGTACTTTCTCTTTTGCAGTCTTAATTGTTTAGCATTAATGCAAGTGTCCTGACAGAAGGTGCTACTGTCCAGCCTAAAAGGTGCTTCTTCTACTCTTTATTGCATGTGCCTAGCCATAATTCTATTTTTTTCGCCATATCCTTTAGTTTATATTATTTCCCAAATTTCCTTACCATTATCAGGTTGCACTTTATCTTCATTTAGTTTTACCTAATATCCATCCCAACACTCTCATTTCTCTATGATCAGATCTCTATGATCAGATCGTAGTTTGTACTACATATGTGTCGAGCAAGATGATAAAACTTTGTATTTTGACTAAGCATCTTACAACCTTTTAGAAATTTTAGTAGGCTTATTTGCTTTTGTGACATCTATGGCGAATGCCATGTATCATGAATGAAAACTAATCCATGAAGTTAGTTATAGGTTAACTGGACATCTTGTTTATATAATGTTTTTTTTTTTTTCACGACTAGAAATTGTCTTTGGCCAACATGCCCATTAGGGATGATGGCGAAAACTATGGTCTCCTCTAAAACTGTGGGCTCCGAAAATTCGACCCCGGCCTCCGCTCGTTGCTCTTCTTGCTTTTTTTCGGCGAGGGAGTTTTAACTGAATAAGTTCCGAGGTAAATTTTGGAAGGCAGATGGGTTTGTAGATAAGACACTACCCAGAGATTTCGCCCTCATTTCGTGAGGACTTTATGATATGAGTTTTGGTTTCCTATAGGCGCAAGCCCCTATAGTTAATTACCCCTCTCGATCGCTAGAGAGAACTTTCGATTAAGGCTAGTCGTCAATCAGATACGTAGAATATACGTGTTATTTGGCATATAGTAACAACATGGATATGGAATTTTGGAAATTTGAAATATTTGGGAATTTGAAAGTTTTGTATTTAAAATAGAAATTTTCACCATCTTAAACTTAAAGCGGATGGTGGGGGAATGGATGATGGACCCGATCAAAATCCTATGGTTCCGTCGTCCCGGGTCATCGTGGTCCCTGGTCTACTTAGTTAGAGGAGGTAGTCGACCCAACCTGACAGAAGGATCTTTGTCGGCAGTCATGGGTTGCTTCGTCCAAGGGGATCTTGTAGACCTGGGTTGGATGTTTGTCTAAGGGGACAAATTTGAATCCACCTTAGGTAACAGAGGGCTTTGTGCCCTATCGATCATATCCTATTGATTCATATCTCAAGGATTTAACGCCACTAAGGAGCGTAATGGCTCTGTCCATAACCGGTATTTCGTGGTGCCATTTGGCGGCAAAACCACTCGGTTCAGAGGGCCCCGGGTCATAACTGTTTATCCTGCGGTGCCATTTGGCGGCGAACCGCCGGTTAGAGGACATGTACCACGTCCTTACTGGCAGGAGATTGTTTGAGAATGGATCCTAGTGATATTTTCGACTAGGCATTTAGCTCTTTTATGAGCTGAGGTAAATTTTGATTTGTCCACCCCGGCAAACTGTTGCGGAGAGTGGATGGATTTTGCTTTAAGTGATTAATGGGTTGAATTTCAAATTTAAATATTTTTGGAATTTTTGAGAATTTTCTGGATTTTTATGGGAATTTGGATGAAATTTTGAGTATTTGGAATGGCATTTGAAAAATATTTATGAACCCCTCCGGTTGAGATCTGCATTCAACACGACCATCATCGGGGTGTTAGGGGTTATTTCTCTTTGTAGATTGAACCCTGTCAACTCGACCAATCTATTGATCGAGGATCGGATTTTGTAGGCTTCGTGCCCTTGATAGTGAATTCTCATTATTATAGGCCTTGAAGGCCTAATATGAATATATTAAGACAAATATGACGGTCGCCACAGTCGTATATTTGTTTGTTGGTTCGAACCCTGTCGACTTCTATTGACCCGTATAGAAGGATCAGTTTCGAACCTGAATTCACTTGTCAACCCGCGCAGCATCCCTAGACGTCACGTGTGTACCAATAACACGCTCGCCGGGGCCCATGCGGGTGTTTGGGGGCATTTTATAATTGAACCTTGTCCACTCCTTTTATCTTCTTAGGAGGATCGGGTTCAAAATTTGATAACCCGCGCAGCATTCCTAAACGTCACGTGTATTTCTATAACACGTTCGCCGGGGCCCATGCAGGTTTTGTGGTTGCATTTACCCCTTTTAGTGTACCTATGTGTATACAAACTACGGTGCACATGTGGGGGTATTCTTGGAATATTTGTGAAACGCCTTTTGTCCGCTTCCAAGAACGTTGCGGATCCGGTGGTGGGGCGTAGCAGCTTCTGAATAGAGTTATTCGCTGCTTCACACAGGTAGACTGTCGTGCACTACTCGTTGCTTTATGCAGGTGGATTGTAGTGCACTAACGAGTCTCCTGCTTTGGTTGTAGATGTCTGCATTTGTTGAATCCCTTTTAGCACTTTTGCTTGTGAATATTGCAATGGGTACATGATGGGTCTTCTACGATAGCTCGTAAAAGCTTGCATTTGTCGTAGTACTTCAGTACTTACATACATGTATTCTTTCCACAATACCATTGCCAATGATATGGGTGATTTTTATTGACTTCCGCATTCGTCATACTTTGTGGATATACCAGACCTTCAGGCTTCACCTAGATCATATTAGTGCATTTATGTTGTACATTCCTTTCGAATTGGTTGGGGATGTATTGACATTAATTTGCAGTCAGGTATTTGATCACTTATCAATCACGAATCTTTTGATTAGCCATTGATCTTCATACCATTAGTTGTTTTAAGCGAGATGTAGGATTTTTATCCACCATGGATCATTGCTTGTAAACAAATTACGATTGAACTTCTGCTCGTCACATATTTTCCACATTCTTCGAAAGGGGATCAAATCTCCGTATGCACATGTAATTAGATCAGTGTGTTCATTACAAGTCTCTTGATATTGAGTGAAAAGCTTGCATTATTGATTGCAATCATGGTATTGTTCAAAAGAATTCAAGCATTGACTTTGTAATTGAGTTGTATTTTCAGTAACTTCCTCTTGTAGATAGGTTATGAACACAAATTCCTTATCTCTATTCATGATTAGTAACATATAGGAGGGCCCTTTGATATTTTAATGAAATTCCTTGTTGTCGACTGTAGACATATTATTGCATACGAATCACTATAATTCACAATGAATTTGTTGTTGTGTTCAGTGTATGCCTCTTGAGTGTGCTTGTAGACTAATCACGTGATGAATACAAATGCTGTAATTGATCACTATCATTCTCATATGATAGATAAAACATCAATTTTGTTTTGCATGAGTTTCATACTTATATGTTTAATCACTTCTCATTTTAGAGATTTTAGCATTAGACATTAGATTATGCTCTCTATAATTACAAGTCCAGTTCATGTTCTCTTTGATGTTGTATAGTTCAAGTTCAGTGTCCACTGTAGTCCAACTCAAATCTTTGTTTGAGTTTAAATGTCCAAGTCATGTCTTTGTTCATTTCAAGTTCTAGTTTTGATTTGAGTTTCTTATAGTTCAAGGTTGATTCAAGTCTTTGCTCACATCATTTGATTTCCAAACCAAGTATGAGTTCAAGTCCGAATGCACAAGTTCAAGTCCAAAAAGTCCCTTGAGTCCTTCTTGTAAGTTCAAGATTGAGTCTTTGTTCAATTCTTGCTTGAGTTCAAGTCCAAGTTTTGTTCTCTTTTGAGTTCGAGATCATTCTCTTGTTTGTTTGCATTCAAAGTTATTAGATTGTTTGAGTTTGAATTAAGTCCATTTGATGCTCCAATCAATGTCCAAGTAAAGCTCCAAATTGTCCCAAGTACAATCTTGCGTTTACCCGAAATTTCGGCAGCCTTCCGGCGTCTCCCCCGTTTAGGGGAAAACTACAGAAAACTTGGCCTCCCGCCACGCTAGAGAAAAGCGTGCACGGTAGGTGCCCTCAAACGAGGACACCGCAGCCGTAATAATTTTTATTCCCCACCACGCCAGAGAAAGGCGTGCATGGGTTGCGGGCACCAGTTTAAAATAAGCAATTTTATATTTGACCCCACCTCCGCCGTAGTTGTTGCACCGGGTTCCCTTCCCGCCACGCTAGAGAAAAGCGTGCATGAGTTGGTTTTCCGGTCCGACACTAACGCTGAAAATGGGGTTTTGATTACCTGTCCCGTCGCGAGCATCGCAACGAATTTCCCTTCTCACCACGCTAGAGAAAAGCGCATGAGTTGGTCGTTCGCCGCATTGAAAGCACCGGGAATGGATTTTCAAAGTTTTAGGGTTAGAGAGATTATACCTTCGCAAGGTTGTAATGTCGACACGAGGATCGAGGGAGAAACAGAGCACTTGCATGTCTTTCTCTTTCTCTTTTTAATTATAATTAATTAAATAATAATAATTAATTATAATTATTAAGAAGTAATTAAAATTTAAAAATAATAATTATAATTTAATAACTAATCATAATTAATATAATAAAAATGACTAATTTAAAATTAAAATAATTAATTATAATTAGTTTTAAATAATCATAGTTAATTATTAACATTAATTAACTATAATTAT